GGTGCTCAATACGCAGGGACCTGGCCAAGGTAAGGAAATCCGAAAAAAGGCCACCTTTGAACAAGACACACAAGATTGGGCCAAGAAATATATGAGGACTGATTTCTCCAAGGTGTTTTGGTCTGATGAAATGAGAATTGGGCCAGATGGATGGGCACCAGGCTGGATCAGCAAAGGGCAGCAAGTTGCTTATCGACTCAGATGCCAGCAAGGTGGAGGCGGGGTAATGCTATGGGCTGGTATCATCAAAGATGAGCTTGTGGGACCTTTTCGGGTTGATGATGGAGTCAAGATCAACTCCCAGACCTACTGCCAGTTTCTGGAAGACACCTTCTTCAAACAGTGGTAAGAAGAAGTCGCCATCATTAAAGAAAAACCTGATATTCATGCAGGACAATGCTCCGTCACACGCATCAAAATACACCACAGCGTGGCCAGAAAAAGTCTAAAAGGAGAAAAAATAATGACGTGGCTGCCTTGTTCACCTGATCTGAACCCCATGGAGAACCTGTGGTCCTTCATGAAATGTGAGATCTACAGGGAGGGAAAACAGTGTCTGGGAGGCTATGGTGGCTGCTGCACGCAATGTGGACCGCAAACAGATCAAGACACTGACTTTAGAAGGCTTAAGAGTGTCATGGTGGAGAAAGGTGGCTATATTGATCACTTATTTGGTCTTGTTGTTGTTATTGAATGTCGCAAATGTTCATTTCTGAATTTTTAGTTGTTATATTGGTTTACCTGGTGAAAATAAACAAGTGAGATGGGTATATATGTGTTTCTATCACATTGTCTAATAATTCTGCACAGTAATATTTACTTGCACACACAGACATCTTCATAAAATGGCCAAATCTAAAAAAAAAAATACATCAACTTCCAAAAATATGAAACTTTGATATTAAGAAGTATTTTGGGTTGATTGAGAACACAATTGTGGCCCAATAATAAAAATAATCCCTCAAAAATACAACTAATTCTGCACACAGTGTAGAATCTATCTACAGAAGGAGTTGAAACAGGAAAGGCAGCCTGAGACTCCTGGATGAGGAGTGGAGCAGAATAGCTGCTGGGAGGAGCAGAGGGCTGATTGACAGGAACAGGAACCAATCATAGCAGAGATTGGCTATTTCTCAATCTGTGTACTTGTGCGTTCTTGTGTCTTCGTGAAACGTCAGCCTCAGCGCTAGTACTGTTCCAATTCACAGAACAGCAGACCGAGATCAGACAATGTTGTTCTGGACCTTCCCTATTTACCCAGCATGCTTCAGAGCAGACTTGTCGGTTCTTGAGACTGACAGCTGTCCAAACATGCACTGCGGCAGCAGCAGCAGCTTTCAATTGAGAGCTCCATTGAAAGTTAAAAGTTCTCTTTTTTGTTGCTGTTGTTCAATAAAAATAAGTTTTAAGATAATTTGAGGCGAGAATATTATACTTTAAAGCGCCACTATATTGCCTTTTTACTGATTTAATGCATAATAAAAAAGTTTAAAAAATTCCGGAGTGCAGAGGACCTCTGCAACCAGGATAAGAACAAAAACAAACTTACTCTTCCACATTAAAATCCTCTTTTCTGCTGAAAGTTCACATTTTAATCAAGATCCTAAAGTCTGGATCAGACCCGAGACGCCCAGAATTCAAGCTGCTAGGAAATCAGAATGAAATTTTCAGGCAGTGGGTCCACTGCTACGGTGGGTCCACTGCTGTTGTAGGTCCATTGCCATGGTGGGTCCACCGCCACTGTGGGTGGGTCCACCGCCATGGTGGGTCCACCGCCACTGTGGGTGG